AAGTATATACTCCGGTCAATTCGCTCACGAAATCGGTTGATTATCAATTAGTCGCAAAAGTGATAATATGAAATGCATTATATTTTGATTTGTGGAAAGCAATACCCTGAAATGATATGTTGATCCAAAACACTTCTAAGTCAATAATTTTAAGTCAAAACTCATCAAAAGCTTCTGGGAGCAAGTATATGCTACAGCATAAAGGCAATAATGAGATCAAATAATTGATTTTACTGGTTATTATCAGATCGCAAACCACAAGTTATGGATGCTTGTGATGCTTATCCCAAATACATCTCTACAAAAACCTGCAATATTACTCACTGCTGGATCAGAGGAGGCGATCCACCAATGAATGCGTTATGTGCGGTCAAGTTCTATGATTTTATTCCTATCAGATATGATGTAAGTTTCTTTTTAACAGTTTTAGTAAAATGCAGAAAGCCTGCATAAATTCGACTACTGTTTCGAAGTATTTTATCACACCAAGTAGCAATCAATAAGGATAAAGCATCGAATTCAGTAACAGATGCGTCAATTTCCTTTACTCATTTCTGTTGCCGTTCCTGAAGTATGCATTCAACAAAGTATTACCTAAGCATAGCTGCCTGAATTTCAGTTCGATGTTCCATTAGAATACGTTAAACTTGGCACAACAATGCAAAATGTCGGATTAATGATTGGAGCCATTGTAGCTGGCAATTTAGCAGATATCTATGGCAGGAAAAAGGTGACCAAAGCATTGTTGCTGTCACGCATTTCACGTCAATAGAAATCTTTTGTTTTTTGAATTCTTATCCGATGAATGAATTGTCTTTTATTTTTTCACATTTATAGAATTGGTAATATCCGTGAAAAACGTGCACATTTCTTGTAAAACTAAAATAACTCTCGCGCAAACTTTCAAACATTTTTCAGCGATTTTTTTTAAATATTCAGGTACTGTTAACAGCTACTGTAGGATTGATAGTATTTCTTGCTGTGACCCCATTATCGTCGTCGTTTGCTGCGTTTACTATACTTCGCTTTTTCGATATGCTATTTACAGGAGGACAGCACTGGTGAGTTACGATTACTGTTATGTTTCTATTTCAAATGACAGTTTTTGCTGCCATCTAATTCAGAGTTCGCACAGAAACACTGCACTGCTCAATCACTTATGAAAATATTTTAGATTCTGTCCAGCGCCAAAGTTTACAACATTAAACATTATTTCAGTGTTTGCAACCCTTTTTTTATGGAAAACTTACCCGACAAACACAGAATGTGGATGGCTACCGTAATTACATATTCACCAAATTACATAGTCTTGTCAGGCATTGCCTACCTTTGTAAGC